CAGGGTAGTGATAGACTCCAGGATTGTGTTCTACACTCAGGCCCTTTTTAAGGGTAGGTCCGAGGACCCTAAAGAGAAAGAGGAATTATAGACAAATTTCTTTCAACGGTAATTCCACGCTGATTGTCCAGAACGTACTAAAATGTTCCATCCACTTAATTCAAAAAACATAATAGTCCTCTCCATCACCCTACTGATGTCCCCTCTATTGGTCCTACTGAAATGCAGAGGCAGAAGTAAAATCAGCAGTGACTTCCCTATCCAGTCCAACTATCTCTGCGTATTACTCACTTCCATAGGTGTCTCATTTTAACACACAGCTGTGGCAGGTACACGTGGCACAACACCACTTGCAATTAAAAAGTATCCCTGGAAAGTCCCAGGCCATGAACTGAAATAGATAACTGCACAGGCTGTACTTCAAACTCCCTTCCCCATTTTAAAACTAAGCACCATAGACCAACTAAACTTCTCTTAATATGCTGGCTATTATCCAGAGAAAATCCTCCATGGTATTGTCGGTTTTGTAATCACAAATGAAAAACTGAAATGTCTTCTTCTCTCATTCACCAACTATAACAACCCAGTGCTTAGACTGCTTCGACCATGAAAATCCAAACCTATTTAGAAACAGATTTGGAAAATTTACATAGGGAGAGACCTCACTGGTATTTTAATTGTGAATGGTGGTTTTGGCTGTGCTACAAGAGCCCAATTCTGTGGGACAGATTGAAAACAGCTACATTACACATGTTCACTACAAAAAGAGTGTGTTTGTAAGTTAGCCAATATGGATTTACTAACTCCTTAAAATCTTCATAAAAATCAAGGAACTTTGTAGCTTTCGCATGAGTTACTACGTTAAATTCATGGTACCATCTAGGCCAGTGGGGGCCAACCTTTTTTCATAGGCATGCCACAAGCTAAACCCCACACGTTCCCAGAGTGCCACTCCAACCCGTTCTCATCTCCTGATCTGCTGCTCCGCTTTCTGCTCCCTGCCTCATCTGCCACCTTCCACAAAGAGGCTCTGCATGCCACTTGTGGTACACATCCTGCTCCAAGCATTTAATTAATTTGCTAATCCTTGTGAAAAAAAATGACAAAATGTCTTGACTTTACCTGGAGTAAGCTAATCTGAGCTAAGAACACACTTTTTTTTATGGTAGAGAAGATAAAGCCTAAAGCTGGAGCCAATTTCACATATTTCTTGGAGAGAAAGAATTCAGAAAAGTGCTGCTGGCTGCCTGTGCATGTGTAAATCTTTATACTTCATACTGCAGCATGTAATAACTTTGAAATTGCAACAGCTTCTGTTCAAGAACTACTGATAATATTGCAAATACCAGACAATAGCTGCTGCTATTTACAATGTTTTCTCTGTGTGCAGGTGTGAAATGTTTTTCTTAGGGCCCTGTCACCTGGAACACTTAGCACATGCTTTATCCGAGATCACAGTTAGCATTATGGTGCCATATTAAAAGTTGGAAAGTGTTCTGAGCAGTAATTCTTACTGTGTTCTGTTTGCTCTGGATTGGGTTGGAGCTGCAGGGCCCCTGCTGCCCTCGCCCCCCTACCTAACCTAGTACTGGATGCTGCAGCTTGCACATCTACCTATGAAGTATGCAAACCACACACATACACCGAGCCTGGTGCCCTCACCACCATGTGCCCAACACTGCCTAGGCCAGGTGTGCCTGCCCCTGGCACACTGCGCTGGCCGGGTCTCTGCTGCAGGTGGACGGAGGCACAAGGAGCTGAGCCTGGGAGAGGTACAGCTCCTCCCACTGGGTCCATGGGGTGGTCTTGAACCAGCTCCAGTTCGGTGAGAGGGCTGGGACAGACAATCAGCTGATTGCCCCAGCCCTGGCACTGCACCAGTCTGGAACTCGTATTACCGCTGTGGAGCAGTTTGACAAAAGCCGACCACATTTCTTAATATGATCTGGGGATGCTCCTCCCATGAAAAAAGTCATCATGTTGGTACCACACGATCACACTTAGCATGTATTTTGCTGCTTGAATGCATGGATGCTTGCCATTTTAAGTGCAGGTAATTTGTCTCAAGTTTAACATGGGACACGGTCCTTACTAAGACTCTGTGTGTTGTTCTATGGAGATTGGGAACTATTAACACCCATTCATCAGAGTTTAACAATATAACACTTTCCGAGTGATCCTGACACAGAGTGAGAACTGTGGCCTATATTGCAGCAAAACACGAGTGGAAAGGGGGCCTGCAACGTTGTTATGCATAATACGGCTTTGGCATCCCCCTATTCTGTCCTATTTCCTCTCTGAAATCCCTTATTAGTTCTGCAGCCTCCACTTGCTGATATCCCCTCCTAACCCCAATGTAGCTCTTCCTGCCCTTTGTGTGTGTTGGCCCGACCCATTTAGTTTTGATGCTTGGCTGGTCTGTTTTTCCGTGTAAATGTGGTTTTTACTATACACATGGCTATTGTCCACATGTGAGCTGGCCTGAGACATACGCTTACCTCGTTTAAATCTCTTCCAAAGAACCACCTCTTCTGATACCCTAGGACAGTGGTTCTCAAACTTTTTGGACTCGAGGCACACCTCTGTAAACTTTTGGGACTTGAGTGGCCCCAATTTCAAAAACGAATTAATATAATATAGGGCTTAATTCCTTACACAGGGGATGGGCAACGGGGCTGGGGCATCGCTTAGGCCTCACTTATCTCCTCCGACTTTGTGGCATCCGTCAAAGGATGTGGCAGTACCATAGGGAGCCCCAGCACCCTGGTGGAGAATCACGGCCCTAGAACTTGCAAGAAACATGCCAACTCAATCATGTACAAGTTTTGTGGAGGGAGGGAATTTAAATATTAAGTGGAAGGAAGAATGAAACTGAAATGGGAAAATGGTGTGAAAAAGTAAAAGAGGCTGAAATTTAAAAGAAAGAGAAACATGAATGTAACGTTTTTTCTTGGTTTGGTCTTCTGTTTAAAATTCAAACACATAAATAATGTTTGGATTTATCATCAGCTGATCACTTTGGCTACATGCATTCTTAACTCTTTGCCTGCATATTATGTGTTTGGAAAATGTAATTGGTATTCCCAGACCTTAACTTATAATGCGATATACATGCAATAAATTGCAAGAATGTGTGATGAATTAATTTAATCATACACCCTTGATCTATTAATTCATCAGCCTCAGGATGTTAGTAAATTGGCTTTTTATTATTTTTTTTGGTTAGCTTAAGACATGTTTCCTCTACCACCATCAAAATGCTGCATTTCCTGCTCCCTCCTCCCCCCACGAAACAACGACAACAATAACAACCCTTCAGCCTAAGATCCAGGACAGGCACAATTCAGTCCAGCTCGAACAACAGACACTCTTTACCCCCAAATGCATTAGCTTTGAAGTCCACAGCTTTATATCCCAGTTAATGCTCAGCCAGTCCCACCTGACTTTATTAACATAGGAATACAGCTTTAGTAGCTGTTGTAAAATTATGTTTCAAAGAGTTTAGATTCTTAAAATAGCTCTTCTGTAACTCATGTGACATACATAAAAACACATGGCGGTGTTGCAAAAACATTTTACTAGCATTCATTCGGAGTGACTTGCATAAGTAACTCAAGATTTCACTCCCTCCCAAACCCTATGCCAATAAAGCCTCACAAACTACACGATCATATTTTATGCCTATGTTGCATCCAGTATCATTATTTCTGCAGTGGATTTGGAAAGTTCTCTCCTGTTTAAAAGTAATTTAATATTGTAGCGGTTAGCTTGGTGGAAAAATACACTGGAGCTCTTTGAAAAGTAACAATCCTAGGTGAGAAAGACCCAAAACAAACTTACAGTGTATTTGGATGGATGTGCCTGTTATCGCACCACAGACAGGCATATAACATCCTAGCTGAGACCCAGATAGCAAGTGGCAAGTTTCATTTCTGAAGATACACTCAACACCTTGTAAGTATTAGAGAACACTTCCAGAAAGGAAGTGTGATTAAAATAGTGCTCAAGTTTTGAACTCATATTTTGCAGTTTCCAAATTCATCACCAAACATAATCAGCACTTTGAAAAGACATATGCCAAAAAGGTAAAAGACAGGATAGTATATAAAATTATGGGTCGCACTCCTTTCAGAAGCCTCACACAAGTATAATAGCATGGTGTACTACCCTGTGTATTAAGAGAGGGCATAAAACGGGAACAGACTTACCAGATTGAAAACTGCCTGGATTTCGCCACTCAGACTTAAAAGGTGTCAAAACATTCAACAGAAGTTACCCTAAAATACTCGTCAAAGTTTTATCATGCAATTAGTTCAACAAGCATACAGCTAAAATAGCATCAACCAGGACCCATTAAATGGCTGTGAGTTTTAAAATAAAACTTTCACAACCTCTGCACTGATTAAAAAAAGATCAGGAAAAAAAAATGTGGCCGTTACAATGTTTATATTTCTCACTGGCTTTGTTAAATATAGGGCAAAGCAAGAATCACGAGCAAGTTGCAAAGACCATGCCTATGCCTTAGAGAAGCAACAGACCACTGAAATGCCCAACAGCACAAAATAAGACAACAGCACATTTGTTTTCCCTGCAAGAACATCCATCCTTACTGATCAACTTTTGCACCACCTCTCGCTGATTAAAAGTTTCTTAAAACGTTCCCTTTGGAAGCAAAGCAATGAAAGCAAAGAGTTAATCCTGCTGCAGTATCAACTGGTGTTAGACTTACTATTAACTTTAATTTACAGAGTAATCTCCCTTTAAAAAAATGATCAGCACTTCCTTGCTGCACTGTAACACGGAGAAGTATATTTTAAATGCTCCCTGGAGTCTCTCTAAACATCTGCTTAAAGGTTTTCTGTATCTTAAAGGGATCTAATTACCAGAAACTCCTCTGTTACTTAAGCCCAGGGCTCACATTTCGATTATAACTCAAGTTCCAGTTAATTTGGGGGCTAAACCAAGATGACTGTACCAAAAAGAAGAAAACACAGGCCTACCTTAAAACTTTCCAGCTTTTCAGAGGATCCAAGTCAGAGATTATAGAAACCATTGTATAAATAATAATGATAAAAAAAAAAAGCTGCGGGGAAGGCTAACCACAAAAAGCAGCAAGTACTCTGCTCAGTGTGGGAATGACAACGGCCCCAGCAGAGCTCTTCCTACTTCTCAAGCTGATAAGCACTTGTCCCAGCTTCTCTCCTCCCCCAAAATCAATCTTGTGCTATATTGCTTCACAGTCCCAGTTTCATTTCTTCACCACTACCTTTTAAAGCCCTTGTAATCTGCTCCAACTGATCAAATTTGACCTTTTTGTAGCCCACTTTATTCCAAGCACAGCTCTCGGTTAAATCTCTCTTTATTAACACCGTCCTTCTTGGCTTTCTTTTGGAACAAACACAGATCAAGCTTGAAGCCTCTAGACTTTGCCAGCAATCATTTACAGATTACTGCAAGCTGCAGCCTTCTCCTTTTGGGTATTTCTTCTGCCTCTGAGGTTTGCTTTCATATCCTTTTTCCAAAGGTTGTTTAGGATTTCCCATCCCCCATGCTTTTCTTTTCTATAGTTTAGATTCTGCTACTTCAAGTAGGGTCTTTCTAAAGCGACTCCCCACTCTGCATACACATCTCTCCCCTTTAAAAAAAACACCAAACATAACAAAAACTTCAGAACCTTACAAATTTGGCTTTCGCTTGTTTTGTATTTTTTCCCCTCAAATATAACAGCTCTGTAAACTTAAGCTCCAATTCAAAGCACCCTGGTTTCTGGACAAGGCTCCTTTTTTTTGTAGAACAAGCTTAATAATTCAAAGTCAAATGTATCCCCATAAAAGCCTGAAAGGGCTTAAAGGTGTCTATTTAAAATCCTTCAAGCCAGATTCTTTTTTTTTTTTCTTCTCATCTTTAAAAAAAAAAAGTAAAGCATTGTTCAGATTACTAGAGTGCACAGCATTTTAACAGCACTCTCCTGGGCCAATACGCTATTTAAAAATATATATATGAATGAGTGCTTTCTTTGTATTTTTTGCACGAACGTTTTTGACACTGGTTTTTGAATGTGTCTGTCTATATATTTTTTTCCCTCTTCACACCTCCCATTCAAAGAAAAATGATTGTCCCCTCCTGTCCATTAGTATTGATTCACTGGAGGAGATTAGGGAATTCCTGTAATGAAAATGCCGGGGCTGGACAGAACATGCAACTGTTGGGCAAACCTCTGGAAAGGGCTAGGCTGGACCAAATGGTGGATATTTCCCCAACCATGCATTAGCAGAGGGACAACCCTTGTTCCATTTTCCTCCTTCCAAATTATGCTGTCTTCCAGTAGAAACAACTCTCAGGGAAAGTGAGGAACAATTTGCATTCCTAAGGCAAGAAAGTCCAGTGAGAAAGAGACTAGCCTGGAACTTGAGAGACTCAGGATAAAGTCCCTGCTACTCCACAGATGCCTTATGCCAGTTCTCCTGCAGTTCTCCATCTGCAACATGAAGGGCGTTTGTGCCTGAAAGCTTGCTAAGCAGAATTTTTCCAACTATTTGACTTGATCTAATAAAAGATACCGGATTTACCCAAAATACCTTGTCTACACAGGAAACAGGGCACTCGTTTGGATAAACACATTAAAGATAGTGAGGTGGTTAGATAGTTTGTTAATAAACCCATAGAAGCGCTTTACATGATTAGTGCCCTCCTCTAGCAATCCAATCTGTTGCTTCCTTCCATGGCAGGATTGCCAACTGTCCAAAAGCTAGTAAAAATTCAGGATAAAAATCATACAAAAATTCAGCTATCCATAAAAACTCTGAGCAGTTGGATCTGATTGAAGATCCCTGGTCCGCAATAAGCTTGGTGCAGTGTTGAAGGACAGGTGGAGCACAGCACCACCACCTGTTGTCCAGGCAGAAGTACAGCACCCTGCAGTACAGCACCACTCTATGCTTTGTGGACAGCCCTTTTGTCTGCCTAGAGCAGTGTTACTCAACCAGTGGGATGCATAGATCATGTAGGCGGGACTTTTTTTGTCCTTAAAAATTTCTATTAATGATTAATATAATACTAAAATGCATGTAAATGTAAAAATACACTTCTCGGAAAAAGTAGGGTTTTGTTTTTATCATGGTGGGACCAGGGTTTTTTGACAAAATGGTTGGTGGGACGCAAGGTGCAAAAGGTTGAGAACTACTGGCCTACAGTATTGGTGGATTGCAGGTACACCTTTTGGGGGTCCATTCCAGGATGGGTTGGCGGTAAGGTTGGATGAGGCAGCAGGATGTGGTCGGGGCATCAGGGTTAATAGAGGGCCTGGGTACAGGAGCAACGCAATGTAAAACCATTGCTGCAGTCAAACAGGATAGTCAAACCAAGAAAAAAATACTGAAAACTTTTTTTTTTCCACAATGACAACCAAACTAACTTTTATTTTTTTTACTGTGGTTAATGTTAAATCCTAAATTTGAACCTAGCCCTTTTAACTGGGATCTTGCAGCGAGGCAAGGCCTGGCTGAAGAATTACATTTACATTATTTAAGACATATCAGTAAAACACTTGCTAGTAAAAAAGTTTGGTTGTCAGTAGAAAGTTTGCAGATTGCAAATTTAAGAAAATATTCCCTTGGGTCGGCAACCTTGTTTCATGGTTGTGGTGAAGGAAAATTCATGTTTCTTTGATTCTACCTAAAGGCTAAATTACACATTCCCTCTTTTCCTCCTCTCTGCAAGCATGTGAGCTTCCTGGGAGTCTCTTGCTAATATAGGGGCAGCACTTACTCCTCTCCCACTCTCTCCACTTTACCTCACTTTTAAAGAAATCACTTAAACCCCCCCAACCATATTTATATCACTCCCTCACAGGCCTCTCACTGTTTAATTCATGTTAATTACCAAGATAAAAAAAAGTGTAACTTTTTTCACCCTAAGCAATGTTTCAGAATTGGGGAGGGAGGGAGGGAGACAGAGAAGAAAATATCCTATCACCTCAAACTTCCTTTTTTTTCCTTCTGTATCAATCATATCATGGGTCTTTGTCACATTATAAAAGATGTGTGTTATATAGTTAAGGCTGGGAGAAGGGAGAAATAGTTTCACTCCAGGTCCTATTATAGGGCTATAAATAACTTCATCATTTCATTATTGGCCATGTAGCTTACATAAAGATGGGCCTGAACCAAACCACAGGATAGGAGCACCTATATATAACATTCCAGTCCTAAGACTGACATAGCATAATGCCTCATCTACACTGAATGGAGAGCATGTAACATTACTCTCCATTTTACAGATTGGGAAACTGAGGCCTAGAAAAGCAACTTGTCCAAGGCTGCAGACTCCACATCAAAACTTGCCTAAATAAACCCTCCAAAATTTCTGAGCCCAATGTAATCTCCATATCTGCAAAGCCCACAAAGCCTAGCTCATGTCGCAAATATTATCTCTAGTCAATATGTTTTGTGCTTTGCTTTGCAAAAGTCCTGGCCCACCCTTGGAGAGCATTTTATAACCTTCTTCCACTGTCTCTACAGTAAAGAAATATCCCAACAGTCAAGAAACATATTTCCTCTCTCATTTAGACTTGTGTAGGGTTATTTATATTATTTTCTTCTTAAAGTGTTCCTCTCTGGAAATAAAGTCAAATCCTTCTTTCTCCTGACCTGACTGACATTTTGCCAATTTCTCTACAGCACCGAAAAAAAGCAACTATAAGCTTTCTAAAAATAAGACGAGAAGGTTAAGTTTAGCACAGAGAAATTTGCAACAGGCAATGGATTTTCCAAAACAGCCTCATGCATTTGACATAATAGTTAATAATAATAATGGTTAGCTACAATAGGGATGAAAAACCAAACAAGACCAAAAAGCCCTGGATAAAATAATTTGCGTCTCATTACTGGACTTTCCCCTCTTTTAGCCAAATTCCTGCGTAATTGTGATGTCTGATCTTTTACCCTTTTAAATTCTTTTTTAAAAGGAAAAAAAAGATCAGTGAACTTCAGCTTGCTCCCCATCAAGCAGACAATCACATCTGTAAAATATTACAAAGTAAAATTTACTACAGTTAGCCTGGAGGCAATAGCGCTGAAAGTTTCCTCTACCTGCTGAAGGATCCCAGCCTACCTGTCAATGCAATTCAGGTCTGTCCTTGTTGTAACATGTATTGAATGCAGCACCAGAAAGAGGTTAGCAGTACTCTATTAATAAGCAGAAGGCTTCCAAGAATTTCTTTGGTGCTAAAAGATTTTAAAAACCCCAATACAACATTCACATGCACACAAGGAAAAAAAAACCCAAACCAACAACCTCAAAATAGTGTCCCCTTTCCTGGCTGAGATAACCACATCTGCTGTAAGCACTCAAAAAGTTCCAGATTAGTCAGCTACAAGCATTTGCAGGTCAAGTGCAGGACAAAGTATCACCAAAAAAAATGATAAAGATGACAGTTACTGAGTGTATAAGGCTGATTTTATGTCAAAATGAATTTTTTTTCCAGGCGCTCATTCATCAGGGACCTGTTGCGCTATGCATGTAATTGTGTCGGACAGCAAACAGTAGAACAAGTGTAAGCAGCAGCGTAGTTCAGCCATGCAGTGCTTTTGCAGGGGGTCACATCATTCAAAAGTATTTGAGGGAGTCAAGGAAAGAGTCTACCAAAGCAATCAGTTTGAGCCAGGATAACCAATAATCAGGTTATCAGACAGCAAAGGAAAGGTCCGGGTGAGGATTATCTGCCCTTTAAAGCATGTTCCCACCACTCATATTTTTTCTTTCATAACCATGTCTCAGAGCTTTGCATGCAAAGAAATATTAGGTTAGAAGAAGCTTGGGTCTCTGTCTCTCTTTTTTTAATTATTAAGTCCCAATTCTCTCTGGAGGGAGCCTATTGTGAAACAAAACTTATCTATTCAAGTGTGGCCTCAAATTTAGTTGCTGTCTGCTGCTGCCTGATAAAGACTCTTCTTCTGGCTGTTTCCCCTCCCACATTACCAAGCCCCATCCCCACAGTGCCGAATGGCTCTCCTTTTAAGCAATGCAATGACTAATTGAAAATGCATTCCAGTACTTTAAAAGCAGCCTTTATTTTCCTGTTGACCAGCCAAATGTTTTATAGTTGGCAAGGCACCATTTAAACTTGGGAACTCAGGCACTTGTTCTCGGCCTCCTCAAGTGATAAAATCCTACCCAGTTTAAT